CTCGCTGCCTAGAAGATGTATTTCAAATTTTACAGCCGTATGCTACAGATAGCCTGAAGGATGTCTGTTTGGGATATTTAAACCAAAGACCTTTGGCATCAAAGGCTGTTATTATTCCAGTAGGCCACTAACCTGCTAGTCAACCACTTTGCAGGGCCAGCTTGTAAATAAACATTGCAGTTTGATGAGAACTTTGTGAATGGTTACATCATGCTAAAGCACAGAACCTGATTCCAGCCACGCCTAAACAAATATGTGTTTTTGGTATGCGTGGTACCTGGTGAATGCTGGTGTTTCAGCTATGGGAAGAAATTAGAGTTAAAAGCGTTCTTTCTGAATGCGATGCAGAAAAGCTTGCGTATCACTGTCATCAGGGGAATGTTGTGCTAGTGAAACACGGTGAAGGAAACTTTGATAGTGTTTCTTTAAAAGGTTCTCAGTCCTCTGATCTTTTGGTCCATGATCCTCTAGTGACATGCAAAAAGGACTGTAGGGTAGGGAAGGAGAAGCCCCAGGAGAATACTATGAAGCTCTAGTTCTAGGGATGAGATAGCAGGGGTTGTTCACATTCCAGTTCAAGCGTATCATGGAAAAGGTGAATAAAAGTTTCAGTCTGAAATAGCTGAAAGCAGCTGCTTTGAGAAACCAGTTCAGTCTGTGAAAAGGCTGGGTTAAATCAAATCAGTCATACAAATCTTGCCTCTAATGCCCAACAGTGGACAATTCTTTCATTTACCAACTAATGTTTTGGGGGGGGGGGGTTTATGCCCATACTCATAAACGTCCGCGCTGGTATTCATTTGCTACTTAACATCAAAACCAAAAAATTTGAACTAACATTATTTTTGTATTTCCAGAGAAATAGTGGAGCATATGGTTCAGCACTTTAAAACACAGATTTTTGGGGATCGCAAACCAGTGTTTGATGGAAGAAAAAATCTTTATACAGCCATGCCGCTTCCCATTGGGAGAGATAAAGTAAGTTTTAAAAAAAAAAAAAAGTTTCTACTTGGAGATGATAATGTAATATTTGCAGAGCCTTTCCAGCAACTGATAGCAACTAATTGTATGGTTTTGGCCTAAATGTGTTCTGCTGATCTAAGGTATCACCTTAATCAGGAGGCGGTTTGACGAGAGAGGCTGAACGGAAGTATGAGCTTGTTGCCATCAAAAAGGTTGCTTCCCTTTCCATATCCCCTCTTTCCTCCATCTCTTTCTCTGCGCTCACATAGTTTTCTGCTGGTTTGGTGAGCTGGATCAGTTGCCCGAGAAGGGATGGAGACAAGCTCCATACTGGTGCTAGAGGGAAGGTGAAAACACAGTAGGAGTTGGGAGAGGAAGCACCCTTCTTAGCAGCAGCAGGCTGTTTTATCAGCTCATTAATCTTGTCAAAGTCTACTGTAAGCTGATTCTCACTATCCAGTAGTTGGAAGAGACTCCTCCAGTGCTCACTTGGCAAAATGGAACGTGTACCTCTTCCCTAATCATTTGTCATGAGAGAGCCAAGTTAGCTCAAACTGTTTTGGTTACTACGACTGCTAGCTTAGCACTGGAGCAGCTGAGGAGCACTCACGTGTTCTGCTTTGCTCTGTTCTGGGGGCACTGACACCTTCAGTCCCTGTAGTTGTAGTTTTAAAACACATCTGTACCCATAGGTGAATTATTAAGCGGAAAGTACTGTGTTAAAACATGCTAACACACAAACCCTATAAAATAATTGATTCTGCACTTCTGTGGTCTAATACCAGATTGAGTTTTCTGTGGTCTTTTTGTATAGATGAGAAACACTTCAGGATATAGGTCATTCTCATTATTCATGGAATCATAGTAATTCCTGGAGGCCACTGTAGCCTTCTGCTGTGGGTGCAAGGAAAGGCATGTGCAATTACAGTGAAAGAGGGTCCTGTCCTATAGAAATTGGTTACAACCAGAGTAGGCAACAGAAATGAGACATAAGGGGAAAGAGAAATACGGAGAAATGTGCAAACTTGCTTATATGATCAAGTTGGAAATAGAGCCCAGGTCTTCCAAAATTCAGTGACAGTGTGTTATAAGCTAGATGTTAGTGTTCTTCTCCGTTCCGTATGCTTGACGTTGTTAATAATTCTACCTTCCTCTAGTTCTTACTCTGATGTACGTAACGTATAACCCTTGCTTTTCCCGTGAATGTTCTCTGGTTTTGAGTGAGTGTGGAGCAGTAAAGGCCAGTCTCTGCTCCAGTCTGAAGTATTTTTCAACTAATCAACTAATATCTAGGAAAACTCTAAAGGAAGCATTTAAGATTACTGGAGATGAAAAGTGTTTTTGCTTTCACTCTTTTAGTTTACTAATATATAGTATCCCGATTCCTACAGATTTGACGAGTGAGGTTCTGAGGTACTCACCATAGCTGGAATGATATCTGTTGAGTATCTACTGGGGGCCCAACCAAGTCGTCTTGACACACGTGGAATTAGTTTTTAACTATAACATTGTCCAAGTTGTGTATGAGCGACTATAAGTCACTAAAAGAAAAATGAAAACCTATGGAGAATAAAGAGACTTGGATCAAGTTAATTCCGGATCTGTTGACACTTCATGAAATGCACGTTGACCCTTCTTTGATCGGGGGTTGGAGCAGGTGACCTCCAACCTATATGATTCTGTATGGTTGTTATCTGAGTAACCACTTACTGAATAGGCCTCTACCCTTGATATTTTGAATTGTGAAGTCCATAAATATACATGGTAAAAATGAAGTGTAGTGACAGTATGTCGTGAGGAAAAAAGTGGTTATCTTGCTGCTAAATTTGCCGTTCACGTGGCTTTCTTCTTGGCCAACTGTACAGGAGCCGAGTTTAATCTGTCACTTACTGTAAAGCCTGAAAGGAGCTACTAAAACAAGACATAGCGGGTAGCTTTCTCAAAATTTCCTGCCTGCCTTTCCCAGGGTTAACGTTGAGAAGTTGACTCCAAACTAGTGAGTATTACTTTTAGTCAAAGTACGGAAAATACCTTAAAATGAGAAGTAAACTTAAGGTGATTATATTGGAAATACGTTTGAAGCCTCAATTCCTCTGTGCGCGTGAAGATAAATGTTGTAACCTACTCTTTGAAAAGGTTAACTTTTGTTAATTGCTTTCGAGTGGGACAGAACTGTGTAGCATGAGGAATGGTAATTTGCAAAGGGCCCTTGGTATGAATCTCACTGGGGAGACTGTTTTTGGTGGAGATGAGCGCAAGATGGCTTCAGTTGTCATCTACGTAACTGGCTCACATTTAGGCTCAGTTGAATAAACTCTCATCCCCCCCACTCCTTTTCACATCAGCTATAGGACTTTCCTCCAGGGCAGAAAATATATATTTTATATATAGTTATCTGTATAGCAAAAGTAGCAAGTGTGCTGTACAGCTCATTGCATCTATGATCCTATTGGAAAGATTGGACATATAAACGATTAATATGTGATCCTTAATCTAAACAGGAACAGACCTTGATTTACCTGCAGCGCGTCGATAGTGGAAGAACTGATCCTAAACAGAACGCTGATACCCAAATTGCTGGTGTCTTCCTCCTGTTACTCTTGCACTTCTGTACTCTATCCTCGTCTATGGTCAGGGGTGGTGGTTCAGGGTTGTTTGTTTTTTTTTTCGTCCTTGCTGACAGTTGCAGAACTGTCTTTTATAACTTTTTTGCTTACATAAACACTTTTCATCTTTTCTTCTTGGCCTTCATGATTATCTTACCTACTTATACCTTCCTTCCTTTGTTTCTTTAGACCCTTCAGGGCAAATACGAAATACATAAATATTACCAGAATATTTTCTTAGTTTTTTCCTTTTTTCTGAGTGTGTAAAAGTTATATATAGGACACTGTCTTTGCTTGTAGCTTCTAAGAGCAAGCTTAGCTCGCTTTACCTGTGGCTTTTAATGAACCTGCTATATTGCGTCTGTATTTGCCTGAACTGTGCTTTTAAAATTAAAAGCTAGAACTAAATTTTAACTTAATCTGGAATGTTTTCTTACCTAGCAAGATTCAAGAACAGCTAATACATCTTAAAGAGTCTTTAATTAAAAAAAAAATGCATGTAACTAATTCAAAGTGTTTTATGTGAATTTGATGCTGAAAGACTGCGCGGGAGGCTGATACAGACATATTATTTCTGTTCCCTTTGAGAAGGGAAGTCTTGTCCTGAGGGCAGTCTGTTAATCCAGTGTATGGCCCCAGCTGTGTTACTTATTCTCCTTGACTTTGTCCACGTGCAATACGGAAATAATACCGATGACTGTGTAAGTGGTAGAAGTAGACCTCTTTCATAAATCCTGAGCTTGAGGTTTCCAGGCCAGTGCGTGGGAGGTAAGCACCCCAATATTTGATTGGAAGGTATGCATCTATTTTCCTCTGAATCTATAGAAAAGAAAAATCTCTCAGGTTACTGGACAGAAGGTACTTCATACGCTGTAAACATGACTACGTAGTCATGTAGCGAGGCGCGGATCTTTATAGAAAGGCAACTGAAGTACCGAATTCCCCAGAACTGCGTGGCCGGGCTTTGCGCGAGCTGGGAGCAGAATGCAGAAATTCCTTGTATCGAGCACTGTTCTTAACTCCTGATACACGCTGACTCCTGTGAGTAAGTCACCCCTAGTCTTTTTAGTCATTCAGTGACTTTTTGCGTGGGTATACAGTAACGTCCCTTTCATTTACTTCCAGACTTGCAAAATGGTATTAACTGAGTTGCAGCTTAGTCATTGCTGCAGCAGCAATTGGTTAGTGGCTGCGGTGGAACGCTTTTTCCTTTGGGACAGGTTGTTCCTGGTGCAACTGTAGGAAGTTGCTATATACATTGCTATTTATTCCTAATAGTAAAGTGAAATGGGAAAGACTCCCATTTAAAATTACTTTTCTTTTTTCTTTTCTTTTTTTTTTTTAATTTTGCTTATTCTCTGAAACTTAAATGTGCTTGTTTGCCCTTAAAAATGTAGAGTGGGATAAATCACGAATGATTGCCAGACTTAAATTCTGATTTGCAGCACTTCGAAGCATAAAAGTATATGTAGTCGTCTTATGAATGTGGATTATGGAGTCACTTTTGGTCCTAATGTGTTACTGTTTTTTTTTTTTTTTAATGGACTCAGTATAACTTAAACTCTTAAAAAGCAAGTCATTCACGTGAGATATTAGGGGAAGAAAACCTCGGAAGTTGGTTTTAAACCTTACGTACATCAAGAGTGACTCCGATTCGGTTATTTTTAAATGGATTTAGACTCAGCAATATCAGTTTCGTCCGAATTTGCCAGTGTAAATTCACTGTTACAGCTATGCTAAACGTAGTAGGTATTTGGCTCCCGAAACGTAGTAGGTACTTGGCTCCCGACTTACTCTGATAGTTTACTGATAGATTTGTCTAAGATAGCTGAGTACCTATATGTGTTATGGTAGAGTGTATTTTTGTCGCCGAAAAGGGTAAAGTAGTTTCCTAATTCTGGCATATCTACTTTTAAAATTAAGAATCAGGGGAGCGGATCGGACGCAAGTTTGCACTCCGCCAACTGGAATACAAACTCTTCAATGCTGTGTCTTTTATTTCCACCAGGGATACACAGTTACTGCAACACAAGTAGTCCAGTTCTTTATCTGTTTCCATTCCATCGTGGGTAAGGAGCTTCGTAAATTGAAACCTGGAGGGAGGGGAAAAAAAAAAAGACAAAAAAGTCCTTGTTTAAATTAATGGTACCAAAGTCAGTAATAATCAGCCAAGTTATGTATTCAGCGGTGTCAGGAGCAATAAAAATGGTGCAAGTTGATTTGCAGCAGCAGAGGAGTTTTAAAAAAAAAAAAAAACCATAATTCAGGTGTGAAAAGAATTTTCCATCCTCTAAGTTGCATGTAGGGTGCAGACCTTTTCACGGCATAGCAGCAAAAGACTTCATAAAAAGCTTCCAACCTGTGTCATCTGAAAACCTGTACCTTTGTTTGCATTGCTCTTTGGTAGGATTAACGTTCTGGGCCAGATTCAAGCCAGCGACCCAGCAATTACAGGCTCCCTTTTCCATCATTTCCCTTCCTCTGCACGACTCTTCCGGCAAATAATGTTTGTGCAAGAGGAGCGATGAGGCTGTAATATTAATTTTAACTGTCTAGTCTAAGTTGTCAACTAAGTTTTTGGCTTATAGGACAGCTTATTATTTGTGTTTTATTTTAACTTTTTTTTTTTTTCCTGTGAGTGAACCAGTTAACTGTCACAAAAGACCAGATGATTGCATATATTAGCTCCCTGTTACCCATATATTGTTTTCACTACCGCACTAATTACAGTTTGTCTGTGAAGTGGATGCCTTTTGTATTTAAATTGTAAGCTCCTTAGGGCAGGAAAATCAAGTGTTTTTGTTTATATCCAACACAAAGGCTATTCTGATCTGGTTGTTTCTTGTAGTCCTTCCCAGAAGTTCTCATCATTTCAAACAAGCCTTAATTTTAGTTAAAGAACGTCTGTTTTTGGACGTTCTTTGTGTTAATAAAAAGGGAGAAAATCAGCATTATAAAAATGCACCACAGCTGCAGTAATTTAAAATAATACAGTTTGTCAATGTTTTGGGCAAAAAAAATTAAAACAGAGCATAACAAGCTTGTTTCTTGCATGTTACTATCGCTGGTACTTGAGCCATCGTTTATTCTTTGGTAACTTGAAGTAATAGTTATTTCTTTTCTTTTCTTTTTTTTTTTTTTTTGACCTCTTTCTGGATTGTTACTGCTCGTTTGAACTATATTCACAGTATGTGAAAGGTACTCTGTCTAGTGCTCTAGAGAGAGAAGGTCTGAAGTTCATGAATTTTGGCAGGTAATGACAGCCCACGTTTTATTTTGCACATGCAGAAGTTGACGTTGTGCGCGTTGACACATCGGTATGCGTTAGATATCTGAATTCGGGTTTTCCGATTTTTCACTGAGACCTTCGTGGTGATACGCAAGCGCTTCCAAAAGGTACCTTGCCTTAATGAGGGAAGTAGATGCAAGTTGGGAAGTATGCTGGTTTTCTGAATTACGCCTTTGGAAAACCCGAGCTGTAAAAAGAGCCTTATGTATGTTGTTTCTTCAGCATTGCTTTGTGTCCTGTCCCATGCTTTAGAGTTGATATTCAGAGGAATTTATGATCCCTTCTAAGCCCCTTTCATTTTTCCCTTTAAATGGAAAGAATCATCTTGGTTTGTTGTTTGGCATTGTTGCAGGTGGAGTTGGAGGTCACGCTGCCAGGAGAAGGGAAGGACAGAATATTTAAGGTGGCTATAAAGTGGATGTCCTGTGTGAGTTTGCAGGCTTTACATGATGCTCTTTCTGGTCGGCTGCCAAGTGTCCCATTTGAGACCATCCAGGCACTGGATGTAGTCATGAGGCACTTGCCTTCCATGAGGTGAGGGGAAGACCTTGACGTTGTTTAGAAAAATTGCCTTACTGCTCATACCGCTTCAGCAGCTATTTTACGTAGCATGCACTTTGATAGATCAAGCGCAATAATAGTAGATCTTGTGTGCTCAGGCGAGAAGCAGTACTGCTGCTTTTCTGCTCTTCGGGTGAAACTAGTAGCCTCCAGCGTGGACACGAGTCCCTTTCCTTGCTGATCTTCAGCATCGTCCCATATTTGTATGGTCAGATCGAGGGAGAGCTCTTCCATCTCACCCATACCTCATTCCCCTGTAGTCTTAAAAGAGGAATGCCCCTCAAGTTGAAAGTAGTTGGAGGCTGGGAGACGTGTAAGGCTGGTTTCAAACATTATTACCCTGTTCTTACGTTTTCCTGGGCAGATGTTTATAGCCAATTTGGTATAGAGGATACTGAGCTAGACAGGCATTAGGCATTGATCTCACCTGGTATAGCTATTTTTATAGAAAACTCTTGAAAATGTTCTTTTCCAAGCAAGTGGGATCCACAGCATTTGCAGTCAAACCCAGGAGACACCAGGCTCCATAAATTCTGCTGCCATGAAACAACTCACTCAAGAACGCTGTTCAAATTAAAGTCAGCTGGAAAGTAAAGGACAAAGCTTAATAAGGCTGAACTTTCCTGTTTTAAAGAGGAGTAAATAGAGAGGACTAAATAGAGAAACTGAGCATTAAATTTATGTAAATATCTTTAAATATCCCTATATTAAGTTGAATTTATCCCTAATGGGAGGATAAAAGAAGGTACTTGAGTCAGCTTTTAGAACAGAGAAAACGGTCCATACTGGTTAGTCACACATCTTTGCTCAGAGAAAAATATTAGCACTGGTTTTGATTAGTTTTACATTAAACGTGTAATACTAAAATGCCAAGATGAAAGATGCATTTAAAATGTTTGTTAGATCAGTCTTTTACTCAGGCAAAGTTTCCATGGGTTTCGGAGGAAGCTATTTGCAAATAAAGGGTGAGATTATTAGACTGTTGTTTTTAATATTAGAGATGCTTAAGTATTTTCTTACTGAGCCGTAGCTGAGTTTGTTTCAACAGAGCACAAAGAACGTTGTGAAGTTTTTGGTTTGTGTAAGTGGGTGTGTTAATGGGGTATATTGATAATGGGTAAAAAACCCAGACAGTCATGAGTACTAGGTAACTTCTCACTGTAACTAACTGGAATTGAGAGGTAAAACCTGAGTCCTGATGAGAGTTTCAGGTCATTTATAATAGGAAACACTGACGTTTCTGTGTTTTCGAGTAGGAATTTGTATTAGTTATTGTTGTATTGCTGAAGTTTTTTTCCTTTTCCTTCATGATTGGCCTCTTTAGCTAATGCATTCATTTTCTTTATTCCAGATATACGCCTGTGGGACGATCTTTTTTTACAGCATCGGAAGGGTGCTCAAATCCATTAGGTGGTGGCAGAGAAGTTTGGTTTGGGTTTCATCAATCAGTCAGACCTTCATTATGGAAAATGATGTTAAATATTGATGGTAGGTCCTTTATAAATTCTTTCTTCCTCCTCCTTTCTCTTTCAATGAAAAGCTAAACATTTAATCCTGTTTGTTGCATTTCTGAACAATTTCCTCGTTGTTACTGTAATGTAACTTGAATGTACGTGCATTTGTCTGTAGTATCTGCGACCGCATTTTACAAAGCACAGCCAGTTATCGAATTTGTATGTGAAGTTTTGGACTTCAAAAGTATTGAAGAACAACAGAAACCTCTGACAGATTCCCAAAGGGTAAAGTTTACCAAAGAAATAAAAGGTAATAATCGAATAATATAAAAATGCTTTTATTCTGAGTGATGATATATGAAAACCACATGTTCAAAAGTCTTTCTGTTGCGGTTGATTTCTTGCTGGGAGACAGATTATCACAGTGCACACTGAACATACGCTTTTGAGCAAAACTAAGAAGACTCCTTTTATTACTTGGATATATGCCAAGACTTTCAGAACTCTACTAATGAATTTTATACTTAAGCCTATACCTGTCTTTTTCCTACTGTGTCATGGCTTGAGCTCTGTAAATTTACTGAGTTACTTTGTGGTTATAAGCAAAGTTGCATCAGTTAAGATAAATATGTGGCTTCATACTTGGTTAATCATAAGTATAAAATATTAAGTGAACATACTTATTTTTATTGAAGCCATGCACGCTTAGAGCTCAGGTATGCACATGAATAAGTTAGCACGTATTAGAGAATCTGTGGTAATGATAATATTCGTGTGCTTTTAGCCTATGGCAAATATAGGGTAATTTTAATTAGCTTTGCCTTTAATGAAAGTGCTTCAGTGAAACCATGAAGATGATGCATTTTACTTTGTGTTGAGATGAACTAAAGCTTCCTAGCAGATGGGTAGTAATTTATTGTACTGAGATTAGCTACTGGCTTGTGATTGTGCAAGCTTCTCCTCCTTTAACTGTATGTTCTCTTGACATACCTCAGTTTCTTCATGCCTCACCTCCACCCAGGCGTTTGATCGAGCATTATGACAAAGTTAGCTCTGCACGCTGACATCTGAGAATATCTCAGTGCAAACTGCTCAGATTTTTTCTCTTATAGTATATAGAGCAGCATCTCTTACTATGTCAGTCTCCTTTAAACAAATTTTTTTTCCTTCCCACTTGAATATTGCTATCCATCCCGGTATTTAAAATCCCCCCCCCCCCACCCCCACATTTCTAAAGTAAATAAAAGTCGGTTACAAATGCAAAAGTTTCATACTGGTTTTCCACTTTTGCAACATAGGTCAGTAGTGCCAATCCTGATTCAATAGTGAAAAGAAAGTCTAGGTTGTAATCCAATGATTGCAGAATGTTTGTAAAAGCCACAATTTCATTCCTTTTTTTTTAATTACCTGGACTTAAATTTTTCCAGTTACTGCTGATTTTAAGATTTTCACGTGCCAGATTTTGCTAATAATTTGGCAATACATGTTTCCGTACTTAAGTATATTTCATGCCTACATTTTCCTGGAGGAAAATTACAGTTATTCTAATACTTTTTGATTCAGTCATTATGTAAGAGGAGGGAGTACTACTGTTTGTGTTTGCAGAATCCTTACTCGTAAGTTGTCTTCTGAGAAGTCAAGGTCCTTCCTCTGCTTGCCTGTCTCGTACCTGATGAGATGATGTAGGCTTGTGACGTAAGCATCCCTCTTGGTGCCCTTATATACCTGAGAAGGGTGACTACATCATGAGCCTGAGTGGATTATTGAAGCCCCTACTTAGCAAGCCAAGTAAGCCTTTAGGGCGGTCAGGCAAGATACGCTCGTCAGAAGGAAAGTTAGAAGAGAGCAACAAACTCCACTAATCTGTCTTGCAGCGAAGGCAACTTTAAATATTCCCCGTTTCCACAAACGTCCACAAAATCGTTTTGAGAACACACATTTGCCCCGCTAAGAGTTTGCAATACAGGTATAAAGAAATCCTCCCCTTTTTATTGTCGTGTGTTTTATGATGGGATTGTACTGCTCATAAATGTTTGACAGACATCATAACTGGGCACCGAATTGCCAGGTATTATTGTCATTTTTTTTTTTCCGTGAGGGTTTTCAGTCTTCAGGTAAGAAATAGTCATGTGAGATTTTGAGCAAAGCGAATCATAAATTAATGTATACTGAGGTAACAGTTTTATCTTTAATGGAAGTATCATGCTACTGGCTTCAGAGGTATTCATGACAACTTTTTTATTTACTGAAGCTTTCCAAATAGTTGGCACCTGGAGCCCTGACAAATAACGTGGAAAGATTTGTATGTTGTTTGGCAAGTTATTGGTGCCTTTAGCAGAGAGCTTAGATATGCACTCTTACTCAGCAGCAGCATGAACTTATACGTATGTGCAGCTATATAAGGAATTTATATGTACAGCCCTTTCTTTCATAGCCCCCTACATTCAACTTCCTCTCGTTCATGGTCCACCCACTTCTATTTTTGTCTGAATATGAAAGTAATACAAATGCAAATGCAGTATTCAAGGTGATGTTTAGAGGGTAGTGGTAAGTGAGAAACTTTTCTGTATAGCTAGCTGTGTTGTGTTGTTTTGGGGTGGAGAATCTCTCTTTTTGGGGATGTGCAGAGTGGGGACAATTCCACTCTTCTTTTGGTTAGCCTCTCTGAAAAGCTGTTGGCTTTCAGGTGGGCTTGGCTTCTGTGCAAGTGGGGATTGCGGCAGCTGGTAGTCTTCAGTAGAAATACAGCCCAGCTGCCTCATTCTGCAGGGTGCCCAGAGTCTCTATAGGTATTTTTTGTTTTCAAGTTCGTTAGGTCAGGGTTGGTTGCAGCAGTTGGAGGTCTCGCAGTTTAGCTTTACCGTACAGATTGAGTAATCTTGTTTAGTAACAAAGAGGGCAGACACCATGATTTTGAAGAAACGGTGATACGTGTTTTCTAATTTTTAGGTCTAAAGGTGGAGATAACACACTGTGGACAAATGAAAAGAAAGTACAGAGTGTGCAATGTCACCAGACGACCAGCAAGTCACCAAACGTAAAATATTTTGCTTCTTTTTAAACATATATTTAATCTCATGCTGGAGGGATATCTTGCATGCAAGCCTGTCTTGCAAAATGATGCTTTATTTGGTCAGTATATTTAAAATATACCTCAGAGTAATGTCCCAGTTTTGGTGTTCTTGAAGTCCTTTATAGAATAAAACAGAACAACATGTCATTTCAACAGATCCCTTCGTCTTAGACCTGCTACCTGTTTGTTTTTTTTCTTTATGAATTTCTTCAACATTGGAAGAACAGAAAGGGCTGTTGGTAGCGTAATGTTTTCCAGAATTGGTGAGCAGGAAATTGATGTCAGTTGGGATCTGGTTCTTAATCTTGCTTACTACCAGTCCATTCCTTCCCCCCGCACCGCAAGACATCTTTATATTTTTATGACTAACCAGAGACTTACAGATAACTTCAAAGTTGAATGGATTTTTTGAATCTTATTCTGGAATGACTGTATTCTGTGCATGGCATATCATAAAATATAGGACCGAGTATCACAAAAAATCAGAAAATGTTATCTAAGGCACCCCCATTCCTTGGGAACTTATGTTATAGCTTCAGGTGTCATGAGATTAGAGAAATAGCCTACTGGGATACTATTAAGACACATGATATTACATGGAATCTTAATTATAAAAGTATACTGAGGTCATTTAATTTCCAGCTGAATTTCTAGCAAACTTAACTTGTGCCAAGAAGTGTATTGAGCAAGCCTGGGAAAGTTTTACGCAAAGTGACGGCTTATTTTTCGCATTTGACTTCCAATAGATTCCCACTTCAGCA